CAGCAAAAGCAGTTCTAAGAGGGAAGTTCACGGCGATAAATGCCTATCTCAACAAACAAGAAAAATCTCAAATAAATAACCTAACTTTACACCTCAAGGAACTAGAAAACGAAGAAAAAACAAGGCCTAAAGTTAGCAGAAGGAAGGAAACAACAAAGATCAGAGTAGAAATAAATGAAATAGAGACTAAAAAGACAATAGAAAAGATCAATGAAAACAAGAAGTGGTTCTTTGAAAAGGAAAAAAAATGGACAAACCTTTAGCTAGACTCACCAAGAGAAAAAGAGAGAGAGGACTCAAATAAATAAAATCAGAAATGAAAGAGGAGATGTTATAACTGATACCACAGAAATACAAATAATCATAAGAGACTACTATGAAAAGCCATATGCCAACAAACTGGACAATCTAGGAGAATGGACAAATTCCTAGAAACATACAACCTTGCAAGACTGAATCATGAAGAAATAGAAAATTTGAACAAATGAATTATTAGCAAGAAGATTGAGTAAGTAATCAAAAGCCTCTCAACAAACAAAAGTCCAGGACCAAATGGCTTCACTGGTGAATTCTAGCAAACATTCAAAGAATTAATACCAATCCTTCTCAAACTCTCCCAAAAAAGTTGAAGAGGAGGGAACACTTCCAAACTCATTTTACGAGGCCAGCATTACCCTGATAACAAAACCAGACAAGGACAACACAAGAAAAGAAAATTACAGGCCAATTACGGGACTGATTAGCATAGATGCAAAAATTCTCAACAAAATATTAGCAAACAAAATTCAACAATACATTAAAAGGATCATAAACCATGATCAAGTGGGATTTATTCCAGGGATGCAAGGATGGTTCAACATCCGCAAATCAATCAAGGCGCTACATCACATTAACAAAACGAAGGATAAAAATCATAAAATCATCTTGATAGATGCAGAAAAATAACATTTGACAAAATTCAACCTCCATTTATGATAAAAACTCTCAACTAGGTGGGTACAGAGGGAACATACCTCAACATAATAAACGCCATATATGACAAGGCCACCGCTAACAATTTACTCAAAGATGAAAAGCTCAAAGCTTCTCCTCTAAGATTAGGAACAAGACAAGGATGCCCACTCTTATCACTTTTATTTAACATAGTATCTGAAGACCTAGCCAAAGCAATTAGGCAAGAAAAAGAAATAAAAGGCATCCAAATTAGAAAGGAAGAAGTAAAACTGTCACTATTTGCAGATAACATGATATTATTCTGTCATATATCATAATATGTGAATATTATGTAAATAATATGTGGAATTACTAATATATGTAAAAAAATTAATGTATGGAAAAAATATATGGAAAACCCTAAAGACTTCACCAAAAAACTGTTAGATCTAACAAATGAATTCATTCAAGTTGCAGGGTACAAAATCAATATACAGAAATCTGTTGTGTTTCTATACACTAATAATGAAAAATCAGAAAGACAAATTAAGAAAACAATCCCATTTACAACTGCATCAAAAAACTAAAATACCTACGAATAAATTTAACCAAGAAGGTAAAAGACTTGTACACTGAAAACTATAAGATATTGAAGAAGACACAAATAAAAGGAAAGATATTCTGTGCTCATGGATTAGAAGAATTAATATTGTTAAAATTTCGATACCAGCCAATGCAATCTACAGATTCAATGTGATCCCTATCAAAATTCCAATGTCACTTTTCAAAGAAATGGAACAAACAATCCTACAATTTGTATGGAACCACAAAAGACCCCGAAGAGCCAAAGTAATCTGAAGAAAAAAGAACAAAGCTGGAGGTATCATGCTCCCTGACTTCAAACTATATTACAAAGCTTTAGTAATTAAAACAGTATGATATTGGCATAAAAACAGATACACAGATCAATGGAGCAGAATAGAGAGCACAAAATAAACCCCCACATATACAGTCGATTAATTTATGACAAAGGAGCCAAGAATATGCAATGGGGAAAGGAAAGTCTCTTCAATAAATGGCGTAGGGGAAAATGGACAGCCACATGCAAAAGGATGAAACTGGACCACTATCTTATACCATAGACAAAAATTAACTCAAAATGGATTGAGGACTTGAATGTAAAACCTGAAACCATAAAACTCCTAGAAGAAAACATAGATGATAAGCTCCTTGGTATCAGCCTTGGCAATGATTTTTTGGATTTGACACCAAAAGCAAAGGCAACAAAAGCAAAAATAAACAAGTGGGACTATATCAAACTAAAAAGCTTCTGTTGGGGCCGGCCTGGTGGCGCAAGTGGTTAAGTGCACATGCTCTGCTGCGGCGGCCTGGGGTTTGCCAGTTGGGATCCCAGGCACACACTGACACACTGCTTGTCAAGCCATGCTGTGGCGGCATCCCATATAAAGTAGAGGAAGATGGGCACGGATGTTAGCCCAGGGCCAGTCTTCTTCAGCAAAAAGAGGAGGATTGGCAGATGTTAGCTCAGGGCTGATCTTCCTCACAAAATAAATAAATAAATAGCTTCTGCACAGCAAAGAAAACCATCAACAAAATGAACTCAGCAGCAAAAAAACCAAACAATCCAATTTAAAAATGGGCAAAGCATCTGAATAGACATGTTTCCAAAGAAGACATATAGATGGCCAAGAGGTACATGAAAAGGTGCTCAACATCACTAATCATCAGGGAAATGCAAATCAAAACCACAATGAGATACCACCTCACACCTCTTAGACTGGCTATTACCAAAAAGACAAGAGATGACAAATGCTGGCAAGGATGTGGAGAAAAGGGAACCCTTGTGTGCTGTTGGGAATGTAAATTGGTACAGCTACTACGGAACATAGTACAGAGGTTCCTCAAAAAATTAAAAATAGAACTACCATATGATCCAGCAATCCCACTTCTGGGTATTTATTCAAAGAAAATGAAAACACTAACTCAAAAAGATAATATGCACCCTCATGTTCACTGCAGCATTATTTACAATAGCCAAGATATGGAAACCACCTAAGTGTCCATTGATGAATGAATGGATAAAGAAAATGTGATATATATATATATATATACATAGACTATTACTCAGCCATAAAAAAAAAAGAATGAAATCTTGCCATTTGTGACAATATGGATAGACCTTGAGGGTATTATGCTATGTAAAATAAGTCAGACAGAGAAAGACACATACCATATGATCTCACTTATATGTGGAATCTAAAAAGAAAAACAAGCTCATAGATACAAAGAACAGATTGGTGGTTGCCAGAGGCAGGGGATGGGGTGTGTGTGTGTGTGTGTGTGTGTGTGTGTGTGTGTGAAATGGGTGAAGGGAGTCAAAAAAAAAAAAAAAAAAGAAGAAGAGTCTCTACTGCTCTCTTACAAAAGAAAAAAGAAAGAAAGAAAATAAATGAACCACCTATAGAAAAATTGAGCTAGCTGTGTCCCCTCTTCTCCCTGTCTATAGAAATCTTCTGGCTGGGGTATTTGGTTCCAGAGGTAACTGCAGATATCCACAACGGACATACACACACACACACAAAAGGGAGCAACTTCCACACCCAAACATTCCTTGCATGGACAATCCTGGGGGGTGGGGGGGCGTCTCTCAGCCTGCACAGCTGCTTCCAGTGAACATACTCTAAAAGAAGCATGTCTACTTACACAGTAGCTTTTGAATTCTAGATGAAATGCTATGTTCCTAGAAAACAGAAATATCCATAGTTTCAGAAGAAGGTGGAAACCCAAATTGGAAATAATCACAGGAGAAATTAAATATATGGCAGAAAAAATCCATGCCCCCCAGAAAGGCACGGGGCCCAGAGTGTTTTATGGGTGAATTTGTCTCAATAAAACTGATAATCTCTATTTTATTTAAATTGTCCCTAGACATTAAAAAAAAGAAAAAGCCTCCTAACTCATTCCACAAGGTGAGCACACACATACCAAATGCTACAAGCTGGGTTTTACAAGCCAAATCTGTCTTGCTGATGATTATGTTTAGATAGCATTGTTTGATGCTGAACACAAATGTTATAAAGCCCAATATCCATTCTCCTATTACCACAGTCCTCTCTTCTCTCTTTGAGAGCCTCATCTTCTCTACTCTATTCAATTTTCTTTAACAGATTTGGCTCCTCTAGGCATGTGAGTTTCTAATTCTTATCATACACCGGTTTTACTTGTAAATATGAATTTTTAAATTCTAACTAAAATATTAGCAAATCAAATCTAGCATAGAATAAAAGAACAAGGCATTATAACTAAATAGAGCTTATACTAGGACTAGTTTACCATTAGAAAATTAATTCACAGGGGCCAGCCTGGTGGCATAGTGGTTAAGTTCACGTGCTCCATTTTGGTGGCCTGGGGTTCACAGGTTCAGATCCCGGGCACGGACCTACACACTGCTTGTCAAGCCATGCTGTGGCAGCGTCCCACATATAAAAATAGAGGAAGACAGGCACAGATGTTAGCTCAGGGCCAATCTTCCTCAGGAAAAAGAGGAGGACTGGCAAAGGAGGTTAGCTCAGGGCTAATGGAAAGGAAAGGAAAGGAAAGAAAGAAAAGAGGGAGAGGGAGAGAGAGAGAGAGAAAAAGAAAGAGAGAAAGAAAGAAAGAAAGAGAGAAAGAAAAAGAAAATTAATTCACAGAATTCACTATATTAATATATTAAAGAAGAAAAAAATGACATATCAATAAATCATCTAATGTAGAGATTCTCAACCTTTGGGGATCCATGAATGAGCTCCAAAGAGTCTGTGACAACTTGCAATGGTAAGCACAATGTTGGTGTATGTGTGGTGAGCTCCACAAGTAAGTTAACTCTCAAAGTCACAACCCATGAAGGCTTTCACATGCTCCAGCACTGCAACGGACTACTCTGCATTAAATGATATTGTTGAAGGCTGCCCTAAAGAAGGAGGCCTAAAAATACACCAATATTCAAACTGATTCATTTTTAAAACAGGTTCTTAAATTCTACTGCATTAAAAGTCATTACTTACTGCCAAGACGACCTCCCGGATGTTTTTCACATACAGTGTCACATAATCATTGATGTAGGTATGCAAGTCACTGAAATGTATGCCATACCAATTCATCATCAGCGCTGCTTCATTTTCATTATTTCCACTCCATATGATGATGGAGGGATGAGATTTCAGTCTCCTGACCTAAAATTTAAGAAAATATAAAATAATTTTCAAATGCTCAACATAAAAAAACTCAGAGCTATAATTATTCACAAAATTACAGCCATTCATTTCTGCATATAAATTCTTATGTGCCAGAAAACTCATTAGAAAACGGCTAGTAATGTTACCTGTGGGAATACGTTTTAAGAAATCTCTGAGATTCTTTTTATCTAGATATTATAAATACTGATAAGATAGGGTTCTTCTTACCTGCTGTATAAAAACTAAAGAAAATATAATCCTTTTTATTAAAAAAGAAAAATAAATGAACCTCATCATTACGTGCCTTGCCACAAAAAGGTTCTAAGAAATTCAAAGGAGACATTACACTACAGGGGTGAGTTTCTCAAGAGCCAGTTGGAGTTTTGTGTGAACAAACAAATGAGGCAGAACAAACACAACCATAAGGATGACCAGAGTTTTGTTTTACAAAGCAAGCGAGAACCAGAGATACTCTGGAAGTTAAATACATGGAATATTCTAAAGGAAAAAAAATTAGGGCATCAAGAGAATGTCTCCTGAAATAACTATCAACATCATGTACCAAGAAATCAACCAAGGTTAAGTAAATTACTGAATATATCTACACATAGAAGAAATTAGAGAATCTATCTGAAAACGCTGCCAGCCTTAAGAATCGAGGTCTGCATGAACTGGGCTCACTGTGGGCTGGCCCTCCATAAAGATCAAAGGATCCAGCTCTTCTGACACACTGGGAGATGTGCCCCAGCAGAAGACAGCAATTACATCTCTTTGAGAACAACCGAGTAAGCCAATGGTCAAGAGAAATTCTTTCAGAATGTGTTTTAGCAATACAACCTCACTGGAATTGACAGCTTCTCTTTCACTGTAACGGAAGATTACAGTGATGGATCCCAGCTCATGTTCTCAACGTAGTCTCCATGTAAGAGGCTAAGTCACTCACACAGGAATAGAGGTGCATAAAGGGTGGTATTAAAGAGACACATCTCGGGGCCAGCCCTGTGGCACAGCGATTAAGTTCAGCACACTCCACTTCTGCCACCCGGGTATGTGGGTTCAGATCCCGGGCACAGACCTACACCAGTAGTCAGCCATGCTGAGGCAACAACCCACATACAAAATGGAGGAAGACTGGCACAGATGTCAGCTCAGGGCTCATCTTCCTCAAGGAAAAAAAGAGGAGGATTGGCAAGAGATGTTAGCTCAGGGTGAATCTTCCTCATCAAAAAAAAAAAAGAGATACATCTCAAAAAAAATTAAAGTCTTGTGTTTTTTTAAACCAGCCTTATAAACAGTATTTCCTTTATTTGCCTGTGTATATGCCCAGGTAAGTGAGGGCTGCTACCAACTGTGACTGACATGTTTATGGTGCTGATGAAAACACAAATACAAATACTGAAGAGGCAAGAAGCTTCAGGGACTCTGTGCCCCACACACCCTTCAATCTGACCTAGAATCTTATGGGCCGGCCCTGTGGCTTAGCAGTTGAGTACACGCACTCCACTGCTGGCGGCCCGGGTTCAGATCCCGGGCACGCACCGACGCACCGCTTCTCCGGCCATGCTGAGGCCGTGTCCCATGTACAGCAAGTGGAAGGATGTGCAGCTGTGACATGCAACTATCTACTGGGGCTTTTGGGGGAAAAAAATAAATAAATAAAATTTAAAAAAAAAACAAAAAAGAATTTTATGGTAAGCTTTACTTCAAAATTTTAACAAACTCTGCATAAAAAAGTTCTCCTTCTCTTTAGTAATATACAAAAGAATTGAAGGCACATAGATATATTTTAGTTATCTGTACATAAGAAAATTAAAACTTTCAAAAGTTATTCATCTATCCATCCATTTATCTACAGCCTGGTTGTGAGGATACAGAGAGGACAAGCCCAAGACCTCGGCAAGATTACAATCTTGCAGCAGTGACAATACACTGAACAAGTCATTCAAAGTGTAATGTGTGTCACAAAGGACAAATGACCTACTCTGGACTTCCAGATATAGGAAGGCTTTTCCAGAGAAAGTCATGCTCAAGGTAAAAGGAGCCAGAAGAGAATGAGTGAGGTGGTCCACAAGGGAGGCTAATGGGGAAGGCATTCCAGGGCAGCTGGGCGAGATGGTGCTTGATGAGGTGAAGAGGCAGACAGAGACAGGACAGTGCCCAGTGAGGATCTTTAACTTTATCTGGAGGGCTCTGAGCAAGGGATGATTCAATGTGCACTTTTTAAACCTTTATTTAAAAAAAAAAATTAAACACAGATACAGAAAACAAATTACGACATAGTGAACTACTAATAAGACAATCACCCTCGTAACCACCACGCAGAGCAAGGAAGAGAACTTTACCAACCACCCCAAGAAGCCCTCACGTGCCCCATCCTAATCGCAGTTCCTTCCTCCTTCCAAAAGTAACCACTATCTTGAGTGTTATAGTAATCGCTTCCTTGCATTTCGTTAGGTTTTTCACACAAATATATATCCACAGACACTATAATTATGAACTCTTGGATTTTAACATACTTGGATTTCAATCCACTGACATTCTTATCCTTACTGAATCTCAAATTGTCCTACTTTTGGTTGACCAGAGTCTCATCAAAGTTCTTTTGACAAATCTTTGATAGCTTCCTTATTATCTGTATGTCAAAATACTCCAGGATTATCTAGTATATTTCCTGTCCCAGACCTGTAATCAGCCATTTCTCTAAGAAGCCCTTCTCTTTTAAAGATTTTATTTATTTATTTTTCCCCCAAAGCCCCAGTACATAGTTGTCTGTCATAGCTGCACATCCTTCTAGTTGCTGTATGTGGGACGCGGCCTCAGCATGGCCGGAGGAGCGGTGCCTCGGTGCGCACCCGGGATCCGAACCCGGGCCACCGGCAGCGAAGCGCACGCACTTAACCGCTAAGCCACGGGGCCGGCCCCTAAGAAGCCCTTCTCTAATGGCAAGTATTATTTCAATATAAGGATGCTCAATATTATTAGGTTGTTCATTGTTTTAGGTCTTCCAGTGGACAGAGTTAGGACATAATCACTTCTTTGCATTTATAGATCTATAAACATAAGTGTGTATATGTGGAATGCAAAAGAAATCAAGGAGTCAGAATTACTTTAAATTTTGACCTGAGGAATTCAAAGGCTGGCATTGCCATTTACTGAGGTGGGGAAAACTGCAGGAAAAGCAAGTTTGGGGGTGGTAATATAACGTACGTTTGGTTTGGACACATTACATTTAACATGCCCATTAAACCTTCAAGGGGAGGCACCGAAGCCAGCTGGATACAAGAAGCAGGAATTCAGCAGACAAGCCTGGGTCATCAGCATATTGTTATTAGTGCCGTTAAGTTAGTTCTGACTCCCAGTGACCCTGTGGACAGCAGAGCGGACCCTGCCCAGTCTTTCTGTGCCATCCTCTCACCTTCTGGTATTATATCAGACAATGCTCCCTGCTATTCATAGGGTTTTCATGGCCAATTTTTCAGGAGTGGGTGGCCAGGTCCTTCCTCCTAGTCTGTCTTAGTCTGGAAGCTCCCCTGAAACCTGTCCACCGTGGGTGACCCTGCGGGTATTTGAAATCCCGGTGGCATAGCTTTCAGCATCACAGCCACACGCAGCCGCCACAGGATGACAACCGACAGACGGGTGGTGTGGTCCCCTGACGGGGACAAGTCCCCGTGCTGCGGCAATGAGAGCACCAGATCTTAACCACTAGACCACCAGGGCTGGGTTCATCAACATACAGGTGGTGTTAGAGCCGTCAGGCTGGGTGGAACCACCAGGGAGTCTATTACCTGACTGACTTCTCATGGGATTCAATAACGAGAACAACAAAAAGTAAGGAGGAGAGGTTTAACAAAAGGCAAAACCAAAACCTAAGTGTTTTCCTTCTTCTTAGAAGGGTAATAACGTTACCTGGTAAGCAACTTCTGCTCTCACGGAATCCACAAAGCCCTGATCAGCCGGATAAAGGGCACACGCAAACATAAAGTCCTGCCATACCTATCAAATCAAAACAGAAGGCAATCAAGCATTTCCACGGATTTGATCACAGAGAAAGAAATTCTCCCTTCTGAACTTTGGGGATTATCTTGAAGGCAAATGAAGAACCAAGTTAGCCTGATGGGTGTGATCACTGGAGCACTCCTATGCGTGAGGCCCTGGGAAAGTCACTCACAGACCTCGAGGCGCTCCAGAACCACAGGGAAACCTGAGAAGAGAAAATGTTAGGTAGGCCCAGAAGAAAGAAAAGAACAGAGACTCCAAATAAGGAAACAGTGTGTGTGTGTCGCGGGGAATTAAAAAAGAAGCAGTTCCCCCCACCTCACTACTAATTCCCCCTAATTCTCACCAGGAATTTGGTATTGAGAGATGGACCAGACTGTTAAGAAACACTTTGTTTATAAAGAAATTAACTTTTCATGGCCAAAAGGATTACGACATGGGCATTCTAGTAATGAAACCAGTAAACTTATCCTTAGGGAGGCCGTTATGACAACAGTGGCTAAGAGCACAGCCCCAAATCAGTCAGCCTGAGTCAGCCTGATTCCACCACACACCCACTGGGTGAGTTTGGGCGAGTTACAGAGCCTCTCCCCGTGTCAGTTTCCTTATCTGCAAGACAGGGATAGGGAACAACAGTAACCTCCTCACAGGACTGACACAAAGAGGAAACCAAATAGCTGCCGAGGGCTGAGGACATGCTAGCACTGATGAACATTACAGAACACTGTCACAACATCACGCCCGTCAGCATGATCAATGGTATCACAATTACTGCTCTTCTATGGAGCGCTTGGTATTTTAGAACTGTAATACTAGAACTAAAAGAATATATTTCCTTTGCTTAACCCTCACCAATGCAAAACATGTTCGGAGTACTTAATAACAGTATTAAGCACACTTTTTCTTTATTTCATTTTATTATTTTGCTTTTCTCTAGGTCGTGTTAGATCTCCTTACAGTTAAAATGTTTAGATATTTTATTTTCTTTTTTATGCAAACCTTCATATCACAAAGAAAATTACAAAGAAAATGTAGATAGATGTATACTTATATATAACTAAATTAATATACAGAATGTCTATCATTTAAAAATAATTAAATAATTATGATATTTGCTATCGACTATGGCTCTGCGTTTGCAAGATGCCAATTATGTCTTCGCAAAAAATGCAACATCATTCCTGGCTCTGAGAAAAGGAGTGAGCAATATCACCCACTCAGAACACGGGAAGTCAAATTCAGGCTATCGTGACATATCAATAAATAAAATATTGTCAGCCACTCACCATGATTCCTAGTTCATCACAGAGTTCATAGAACTCATCTCGCTCATAGATTCCTCCTCCCCACACCCGGAGAGTATTCATGTTCGCATCCACAGCAGACTGCAACAGCAGCCGCAACCTATAGAAGACATTTTTAAAACAAATGCTAATCTGAAAATTTGAAAATGTTAAAAAAAAGATTTAAAAAATACATTGTGGTTGATAAACACATTTCAAATATCTGTTAGAAAAAACACACTTTAAAATTATGATGGTTTGGATATAATGCTAAGTGAAGAAAGTGAGACAGAACTATGTACACAGTAACTGTAACCACATAAACAAACCTGGAAAAATTATGGGTGGCATCTTTTCTTTGCTTTCTAAATTTTCAGTAATGTTATTATACTATTCTTAAAACTAAATTTTTTGTCTTAAAGTTATTCCTGTAGGAAAATACAGTTGTATACCTTGGAAAGTATGTGCTAATTTTATATAACCATTTCAAACTGTAAGAAAAAAATCAAAATTTGAATATTAGCATCTCGCTCACTCTTATCTCCCTTTTTACAATTCCTCCAGTCCAGTACTTCTTTCTCTAGCAAATTCCCTTCTGCTTTTCCAATTTCTATTCACATTACCCTCAGGAAAATCTAGAAATTTACAGCCTCTTTGACAGCATGTACCCTCCATCTCTAGAACAGTGTGCAGAAAGGACAGAAACCAACAGCAGGGCGGTAGGGACGCAGAGCCCTGTGCTCGCAACAACGGCAGCCACGGCGGGGTTACTAACTGGCCCAGCTGTGATGGAGAGCCGCCGCCACAACCAACCAGGAGAGAAGAAGAGCATTTGAATAGGAAAGAGAGAGCAAACTACCTTTGCCTATGTCTGGGGACCAATTTCATTTTCATATGAAATTCAAAACAATATACACATTTTGCAGTAAAAGAAAATTACTACAACTTTTGGCAAAATTAGATTTTAGTTACCAACCACATCTAACATTCTAAACATCAAATAATATACTACAGTGCATATTTATACATTTGTAAATAAGTTAAATGTGTTTATTTTCACTATTACAAAGATAGCAGTTTATAAACCCAATCAGGAAATATTATTTTCTTGTAAAGTTCTATTCTCAAATCTTCAGAAAAATACTTTAACTTTTTTCGTAGATCTAGAATTTTAAGGATTTTTTTAGTTTTTTGTATTAAGGAAAAGTAAAAGAACATACAAATATGTTAGCATGAAGAGGTAAATACGGGTTCCCATTTTTTCAAAAGCCTGCACAAAAATATTTAAGACATTTTTCCAAAACTGAAAAAGCCAAATTTTTTTTTCAGGGACTAACTATCCAAAACATGCATTAGTAATTTCCTTGTTCCTCCAGAGGACACATATAATAGCTTTGTAAAAATAGGATAGCTTCAGCAGTCTCAAATACTTTAGCTGTAAGACTATCAATAGCTCATTAGAATGGAATATATGATTTAAAAATCTTTTCCATTCTAAAGTTTCCAAAATCCTAGAATTCTATATTACCTCTCGGTTCCTTCCACAGGAACTAAAGAAAGTAAAAATGGGTAACTCTCAAGCTTTGTGGGAGTGTTAATAAAAAGAGGAACAAATATAGCACAAGGAAGAAAAGAAAGATGATAACTTACAAGTCAGAGGTTACTCGATCCTGGAATGAATCTGCTGGTATCCAGTTAGAGCCTTTCAGAAATATGGGAAATCCATTAATTTTGAAGTAGAAACTCAGACCAGGAGACCCTTTTATAGGCTCTTCTATAAGTTCCACTGTCCTAAAATAAACCTATTATCAACAGAATTAAACATTGAATATCAATTTTAAAACATAAGCAAAAGAGATTTTAAAAATAGGAAAGCAAACTTCTGAACAATTTACATGAGCATAATTTAATGTTAATTTCCTATTTGCTATGAAGCACTTAATGTGGAAGTGCACATTTCATAAAAAATACTTATATAAATTATTGCCAGATTCCATTATTTTTCTTTTAAAAGAAAAATACAGAAACCACCAGAGTGAAATATACTGTAGTCTTCCTCATGAAATAGGCATTTGTAATTACATCAAAAGAAATATATTTGAAGATAACATTTCAAAACTAAAACAAAAACTGATACTATTTCACAAGTTAGGAAAAAAAATGCCACCAAACTGATGTATCTTTGAGCAAAAAACACATTCTCATTTCAGTGTTGTTAAAATGTGCCAAAATGTGCATCTTAGAATCAAAGAAATGTAGCACTATACTACATAGAAATATAGTATTTCATAATTTAACAACTTTCCAATCTTAATAGCACATTACTGTAAAATCCACTTTGTTTACTGGGTAATTTAATCCTAACTCATCATCACAGGAAATCAAGGAGAGCTCTGGTATCAGGACTGGAGATGGAAGTGATGTTCCAGTGGGATGACGGATGGGAGGACACGCTCCAGTGTTATCCTTGCGACCTGAGAGGAAGCTAAGACCTTCGTCCTGTGACACTCTAGCCAGGTTTTCCCATAGTTAAGCATCAGCAGCAAGATCCTAGATAGAGAAGATTGATGTTCTTATCCAAATCTTCACTTTTTCCAGCCATAAACTGGATCAAGGCATGAGGGTCGTGGTTCTACACCAACAAAGCCTAGCCTTGAACCAAGATTATACATTTCTTCTCCAATTAAAATAACTAATTAATCAACTTATTTCACGTAATCAAAGTGCCCACCATTCCTGCACTTTCTTACCCTTGCCCTTATTAATATGACATGACAAAAGATAGCAGAGTTAACTCTATGAGAATCACTGGACGAGGTCTGGATGAGGAGGATCTTAACATGGAATTATCACACCTGCTTTAGAGTTGCAAAATGTAAAAAATGTACAGTGATTTTCAGAGGTAACTTTTAAAACACCTTGATGGTGGATTCAAACATCTAGAACATTGGTTCTTTAAGTGTGGCCAGGGGACCACAGGAGATCCCTGGGAACTTTTCAGGGGGTCCTTGAGTTCCAAACTGTTTTCATAGTAAAGCTAAAACATTATTTGCCTTTTTCACTCTCACTCTCTTTTGAGTGTATGGTGGAATTTTCCAGAAGTTACATGATGTCTGATAACATCATTACTCTGACAGATAATGGAATGTGTGCTTGTGTATTCTGGTGTGTTCTAGTTCTATAGTAGGAGTTTAGGGTATGAAGAGGCGTGTTTTCACAGATTGTTTATTCGCCATACTACTACTGTGCTCTGATTAGCTGTCTCTGGTTATTCCAGCTATAATCTCTGTAACTTCATTATTGTTCAATAAATTCTTATTTTGAATCTCAAAGTTTCCCTTGCAACCTACACAGAAACACAAAAGGACTAGGTACCTTTTGTTAACTTGTTTCACAGTAAGATGAATTTCAAGTTTTCAAATAAAAACAAATTTTAATTGAAACTTGTTTATTTAAGGATGAATTGTTGTCTTAAAATGGGATTAGAAGACTACCATTCCCAACCGACAACAACACTGTCCACATCTAAAAATGCTGAAAAAAATGAAACTGACATATCTGATATGTCACTCCCAAGAAACTGGGTGAAATTATAAATAAGAAATGAAATTATGATGAAAGGCATATTTCTCTTGACTTTATAAATGTTAATAACTTATCTCATTGGTGTTTTATGCAATGGAAAATGTTTTTGTTTTTTGGGTGAGGAAGATTGGCCCTGAGCTCACATCCGTTGGCAATCCTCCTCCTTTTTTGCTGAGGAAGATTGGCCCTGGGCTAACATACATGCCCATTTTCCTCTACTTTATAAGGGATGCTGCCACAGCATGGCTTGATAAGCAGTGCGTAGGTCCACACCCGGGATCCGAACCTGCAAACCCCGGGCCACCAAAGCGGAGCGCATGCACTTAACTGCTACACCACCAGGCTGGCCCCTCAATGGAGCATTTTTTAAATAATATTTATGGTGCCAGTTAAGTTGTAGTGTCATTTTGAGACCAATCATTTGAAGTATAAAGAAAAAAGCATTGAATATTTTAAACTTAGATGTGATAAGCTCTTTAAAAGGCAAAAATTGTTTATTATGTTGTAACATATTGTTTTAGATTGTATAATAATGTTTTTCAAACTAGAAATGAAAACACCAGGAGCATCTTGCAGGGCTGGTTGCCATGCGGCACTCACTGGAGAAGCACACAGACTAGCGGAGAGTTTTACAGTTGATGTTGCTGAATGCCTACTGGATGAAACATGAGAAAAACAAAATCACAGCACTGTCACTTTGCAATGACACAAGAACTCATCCAATTAAAGATTTAGCTGCAACATGAGACTGAGTTGATATCTCATCTGAAGAAGCATACTTTCGCCTTACAAATCGCTGAATCTCTAGAATGATGGACTTGCTGTTTTGCTTGTATCTGTCTGTTAATCAGCACAATGAATCATCAAAAAAGATCTCTTCCACGTGAATCTTTGGCCACAAAATACAAGAGATGCTGAAATATTCAAAACATTGAATAACTTCTTTGACTCTCTAGATTACCCTGCAACAACGGGGTTAACATTTGCCCTGATGGTACAAAAGCACTGCTGGTGCCTCGGCAGAAACCAAGGCGGTGACTCCACCGGTGCCGGGAGTCACTGCATCCTTCACCCTTCTGCATCAGCAGGTAAAAAAGGCAGTTTCACTTAAGAATGTCCTTGATAATGCAGTAAAAATTTTTAATTCTATTAAACCCCCATTTTGAGTACACAGTGTAATAATAGTCTGTGGCGAAAAGATGAAATGGGGAATATGAACAAAGCACCACGTACAATGGTCTTGAGGAAAAGATCTGGGCCACTGCTTGAGTTGTAAGCCGAATTAGCCATCTGGTTCATGAAACTTCATTTTAACTTGAAAAAACTACCAGACAAAGTATGATTATTCAAACTTGGCTATCTGGCAGACATTTCTTGAAAATGAAGTGAGTGTTGTCACTTCAAAGAAAATAAGTAACAGTATTGTGGCCAATGATAAAAACTCAAACTTTCAAGTAAAAATTAGTATTTAGGAAAACTTGTATCCACTACCATGAGCTTGAGATCTTCCCAATACTCAACGACTTTTCAGATGACATCAATGATGATATTAGCAAATGTGAATGTCATACTATATAATGAAATGTTTTAACATTTGGAAATCTCAGGACACCAACATTCTTCAAATAATCGATGCATTATATTACAATATCACACATGGATAAAAGATCTATCAAGGGTGGAAGATACACCAATAGATTTTAATGTAACAGAGAATGAACAGTTCATTGAAATGGCTTCAGAGTCCACACTGCAACTAACCTTTAAGAAACTACCACTTGTTGAGCCAGCCCTGATGGCCTAGTGGTTAAAGTTCGGCATGCTCCGCTTCAGCGACCCAGGTTTGGTTCCGGGGCACAGAACCACACCGCTTGTCTGTCAGCTGCCATGTTTTGGCAGCAGCTCACATAGGAGAAGTAGAAGGACTTACAACTAGAATATACAACTATGTACTGGGTCTTTGGGGAGGGAAAGAAAAAAAAGAGGAAGATTGGCAACAGATGTTAGCTCAGGATGAATCTTTCTCAGCAAAAAAAAAAAAAAAAAAAAAAAGCCTATCTATTTAAAAAAAAAAATGGGGCCAACCCCATGGCTGAATGGTTAAAATTCCATGTGCTCCGCATAGGCGGCCCCTGTTCATGGGTTCAGATCCCAGGTGCAGACCTACACCACTTGTTGAGTCATGCTGTGGTGGCAACCTACATAGAAAATAGAGGAAGACTGGCACAGATGTTAGCTCAGGGCTAATCTTCCTCAAGCAAAAAAGAGGAAGATTGGCAGCAGATGTCAGCTCAGGGCTAATTTTCCTCAGCAAAACCAAAAAACAAGAAACTACCACTTGTTAAGCTCTAGTATAGCATCAGAGAACATCCACAATTATCTGAAAAGGCTATTAAAGTCCTCTTCTCTTTTCCAACTACATATCTGTGTGAAGTCAGATTTTCTTCATATGTTTCAAGGAAAATAATATTGCAAATTGCATGAATACAGAAGCAGATGAGAATCCAGATGACTTCTATTAAGCAAGACATTAAAGAGATTTGCAAAGATGTAACACAATGTTATATTCTAACTAAATTTTCTATTTTGTAAATATATTTATTTTTCATAAAATAACTCATAACATGACATGGTTTATTATTGTGATTTAAAATGAATAAATATTTAATCCCCAGTTTTAATATTTACCCACATAAAAGCACTTTGAGGTTCTCAATAATTTTTATGAATGTAAAACAGTTCTGAGTCCAAATAATTTTGAAAATCACTAATCTAGAAAATAGAACTCATTTATTTCTTTATATCTATTAATGCTACAAATAGTATTAATGATAAAACACATTTCAATATGTTTTTTCTTTTGTGGACAAATTTTCTCATGAAAAGGCAGCTAGCTATCCCCATCTCCCAACTTGCACAATAACAATTTAATGACCCAAGTTAATGTAAATCCTAAACCACCAGACTGAGCTCAGAGGCGAAACCATCTTCAGCAGCCACCTTGCCCTCGGGCATTCTTTTACAGGTAACGGCTGGAGGGTCCATGATTAGTGTCGGTAACCTCCACATCCTCTGCAGTCTTGAGTGAGAACAGAAAAGCCTTGTTCTACAACAAGTATTATATTTCAGAGAAAATAATGGGCTCTGAAGGAGGGTTTTTGAAAAGACTCCTGAGTAACAAATATTTGCATCCAGGGTGAATATACTGTCTAAGATT